TGTTCCAAGGAGCCCATTTTTCCAAGGAGCCATATAGAATGTATATTGATTATAAGCAACCACATACACATTCTATATGGCTCAGAGTTGCTGTAAGGGGCACAGTGCCGTGGAGTTTGTTCTCCCAAAGTGGCCTTGTACGCCTGGGGGACCTGCCTTCCTCTCTAGCTGGTGAAGCTATTTTGTGACTGCAATTAAAATTATCCAAGAAGTCTTCCCCAAAGATGAATACTGGCCATGGTAAGAGAAAGAGGGCTCAAGAACGTCCTGTTAAGGTCATTATATGGAAATTAGATTCTGTTTTGAGATTAGTTCAGTCTCCAACATTTTTTTCTTCCTTCTCCTGTTTCAATGAGTTGTTCTTATGAATCACACATAAGATTATTTAACTGCTTGCTCTTTCGGTTTGACAATCTATTTCCAAAATACCACCTTTGTAAATTGAGTTCTGTTGTGATGTGTAACTGCAGAGAAGTGATGAGTAATTCTCATTTTCCGAAAGTATATTGTTAATAGAAATCATCATCTCCATAATCCCTCGCCTCCCACCATTCCTGGAGAGATTTTAAATTTTCATTTTCTGCTCCTGAACTGAGAATGTCCCATCTTCCATGGATAGCATGAATGTCTCTGTTACTGACTCTCGGCATCTTATTATTCCAAGTGTCCTTGGCTTAAGTGGAGGCAAAAATCATGCTTGTCTTTTTTTATCCACATTTTCTCGGAGACTCAGGATCATGGGCAATGAATGTCTTCATATTTTTGCAGAAAATCAACTAAATATCAGTGAGGGGAAAAACAGATGTATAAGGAACTTAGGGAAGCTCTTACAATATCTGTTTTTCCTTTTTGGAAAACAATTTCAGTCTTATTTTGAAATTTATGGTTATCCTTTCTCATTTATACTATCAAGTTTTTTTTTAAAATCATTACTTCTAAAAAAACACATTACTTCTACTTCCAAAGACATATTCCTGTTTTAAAAGACATTACAAGGTCTCTTATTATGATAAACACATAATAAGATGCCTAATAACAAAGGCAAAAAAAATATTCAGTTTTATTCAGAGTTGTGAATAGGCTAGGAAGACATGATTCAAACGTTCGAGTTCAAGCAACATAGGATGGATATGACATATATTTTTTCTAAATTCTCCAAATTAAAATGAATCGCCCACTGAAAAATGCATGGAGCCATAACACTCCCTTTTCTACTTCTAACAGCAATAATAGAATATATCTTGGGAGAAAGACTCTTCATAGTCTACTAATAAAACTAATGCTTGGTTTTGCTTAAAGCCATCACTTGTTTACTGGTGTTCCAAATTAATCCCCAAGAAATAAGTAAGGCTCTACTCAGAAGTAAGTCTCCTGCTTCACAAGCTGGAAATCCACCTAATTTCAAATACAAATCAGATAATCTGTGACAGCTATGATTTTTTCATCACCAAAGTATAGACGATGTTAAATATCACAGAACATGTAAAGGGATTTAGAATCAGTAGATTGTACTTTCCCAAACAGTTTCCATAGAATAGTCAATGATGTTAATAGATGTTAAATAATGTAAATGTATTTAGGAAACTCTGAACATGCAATTTTGGTACACATTACCATATTAAAGACACTGAGATTGACTGTAGGAGAGGAATCTGTTGGTCCTGTTTACCCCAGTGATCCCTCAGCTGCTACTTGGAACACAAGTTGAGAAAAAGCTGCCCTAGCAATATGGCTAGCAATAGGAAACATTGTTTTAACTCCTCTGCCAATACCTGCCAAGATCTGCTAATGTTCTCATTGTCATCGACATCATCATTATCATCATAACATGTTATTAAATGATCTTGATTAATCACCATGGACAGAGAATTACATATGTAATTCCTGCATCACTCAAGTTTACAACATAAGACTGTCAGTTCAAACCTATGCATATGTCTACAAAGCATCCAGACAACTAAAAAATTAAGCAAAGATATGGCATCTTTTCAGCTTAGGTTACAGAGTTTATATAGGGATAGAAAGCTGCCATTTTCAAACAGAAAGTCTCAGGATAAAGCCATTATCTAGCTAAGGCTATCTTTGGGGATATCTAGAACTCTTTAAATAATGGGGAGACTGCTTGGGAAGTTGGTAGGAAGAACGTCTCAGGCACAAAATGCTGCATTAGTTAAAGAAAATGGTAACAGAAACAGAAATAGCAGCAAAGAGCCCTAATCAAATAGGGGATTCCTCCTTTATGGGCTCGTGGGAAGAGGAGGTGGACTGAGTTGAGAGGAAGAGAGCAGGGGAAAGAAAATGAAACAAGGTCAACACAGAGTTGGCCAGCTCTATTCTTAGTCATTTTTAGGGTTGTATGATTAATCATATTTTACACACATAAGCGTTCAGCTGTACCAGAAGGATACAGCCTCGCATGCTTTCATTTTCTCATTGTTTGCGGAAGTGAAACTATTTGAGTTCTGTGCATGAATAGATGATGACAAACATACCATCCTGATATACCTAAGGGTACACATTAATATTTTATTTTTTAATAATGCAATATGTGTTAATAAATAATGATATACAAGATAAAAAGGAATCAATATTGAATCAACTAGCATTGATTTTCCCCCAATTAACTGATGAACATGTAAAATAGATATTTAATATGCATAGACATTTAAATATACAAGCTACTTCGAATGGGTGTTAATTTTTTCACTATAAAGGGTTATCAGTTTCTACTGAGTTCATCAATTGACAAAGACAGTGTTAACACTGAACTTCAGCAAAAGGTAGCTTTCTAAAAATGTTCCTATAATATTATATTTAGAATCGCCTTTATATTCATTGTGATTTATTTACTTAAACACCTGAGCTACTACTTTTGAAATTGAATATGTGAACTAAAATATTTGTCATCATAGAGAACTCTTTCCACTTTTGAATCTCCTAGGTATCACTCCTACCCATGGGCGACCAAGAATCACCCAACCAAAAGATGAAAATGCTGCATTTTAACAAATGGACTTGGTTTTCCCAGTGAAGTTCAAGTTCTGGACTTCAGCCACTACTGCAAGATGCCCAATGATTGGGTGTTGTTACAAGAATGTGGAAGAGACGAGACCAAGAAACCATGGTGCCTGCAGGACCTCTTCTGGAGGCCCAGTGCTAGGCTCTCTGACATCTGCAGTGCTTGGACAGTTCCCATTTCCTAGGACGCGTTATATACAGGATGACAAGGCTCTCAGTGCTCCCAGGAGAACATACCATGAACTGCCTCTGTGGGAAGCAAACACACACTTCATAGAACTTCCTTCCAAGTAAAAAAAGAAAAATCCTTTTCATAGTTTTCAAAGGACTCTTAAACTTAGGGTTGCTGAATCTACATTCAAAAGCATCTAGCCTTCCATGTATAAAAAATAGTTTTACATAAAGAAAATGAATAGGACTCAGAATTATAATATATTGGTGATTCACTCCCAATTTTTTTTAATCCTTAAAGATATTCAAAATATGTAATTGAATGTTTTTTTGTTGTTGTTGTTTTGGTTTAATGAAAGGATTGGCTCTCTCTTAACCACTTGTATGCTGGTGGTCTTAAACCCTGTTACAGTGTAGACAGTATTTGTAACCTTGCACAGTCTCTGGGAATTGTCAGGCTTAAGTTACAGTAATAGAATATATTAATGTACAATGTGTGTATATGTACATATATATGGGGAGAGGGGGAAGCTTTGATAGGCTAATGCTTCGCTGCTGATCCAACTTATAGTATTTTTAGAGCACTTTGAATCTATGAAAGAGATTCAATATCCCTTGTTCTAAGACCCTCCTTACTAAAATAACCTACATTGTTTTAAAATTTTTATTGCTTAGGGATTTGAAATGAAAATAAGTTATAT